TTATAGTCCTTGGTTTTAGTCCTAGGTCCATGATCCACCTTGAGTTGGTTTTTGTGTATGGAGTGAGGTGTGGGTCTTGCTTGAGTCTTTTGCAGATTAATTCTTAAACCAAGAGCAGAATAATTCCAAAGTTCAAACACAGTATCCCCGTGCACAGGGAATCCAGTATCTCCTCTGGGGGCCTGGACACAATTTTCTGTTTGCAGGGGGTGCCCAATCCAGCCTGGACTCTAATCTTAGCTGCAGCCCAACTATCACACCAACGAGCTGTCCACAGTAACTGGTTTCCAGAGCCTTTACATGCATATGTGAGGACATAATCATCCCACTGGTAGGAACCTTTCTTAAGGTATTGATCAGAAATGCAGAGAAAGACTGAAAATACCATTATTTATACTAGTAAAAACTGAAGAAATAATTTCCTACATTTAGAGAATTCATACACAGTTATGTGTAGTGCATTTCCATGATGAATGATTATTTAACTCTTACAAAAGAATATTTATAAACACTCTTTTAAGGCAAGAGAAAACAGCTTTGCCATTTATAAGAAATGTTTGGATAAGCAAGTTAAGGCCTACTTCTTAATGTTAGCCTTGAAAGACCCTGATATGTTTGGAAGAGAAAGGTAAATAGCTTCTTTAGATCTCTGGGACTAACAGAGTAGACAAAAGTCTGACAAGGTGTTCTACCACCAACACAGAAATCTAACTTGTTAATCACTGTTTTTAATGATACTAACTAAAATCAGAGTTAGGATAGAAATATATTTGATGTTTTCTGGGAGTTAATAATAGGTATGGATGCAAATTAAACTACAGCCTAAAGTATTCACTTTTCTACAACAGCTTCAATGATAATAAAGCTTCCCAATGGTAAAATGAGAAACTACAGTATTTAATTGTTTGATTATATATGAATGGGAAAATATCTATAAAACTTAATGAATTGCATATTTACTTTCTTTTGATTCAATCTTGACAAAGAACTGCACTTTGCAAAAATCGCCAGTACTGTGTGAGAAAAGAGCAGTTATAGTCTTTTGGAAAAAAAGGAAGCAAATGTTACTAATGGTTTTTTGTTAAGATGTGTTTGAGAGTGATTTTGATTTTCTTCTACATATTTTTGTGCCTCTTCAAAAATTGCTTAATGGTATTTCTCTGTAATATGTAACCAAATAAGACCAATCATTTAATAAGAACAAAATAAATATGTTTAATTATACAATTAAACATGTGTCTCAAAATAAATCTATTCTGCTTCATTGTGGAGGGGTCAGTAAATGTGCAATGGTCCCTGATTTGTTTCTCCAAAATTTTCTTCCCCTCAAGAGTGGAAAATTTAATCTGGAGTGCAGGCCCCTGAATTTAGTGCCAGATTATTAGTATGGATGATGGTTTTTACCAACTTGCTCAATAATAATTGCCTCTTTGTAGAAAGAGCCCATGTTTTATCATGCTCTTTACTTGTCATATGAAGCAGAAAACAAGAGTGTAAAATTTATTGCAATATTTCAAATCCTTTCTTCTTTTAGGAGACAGACAAGAAAATGGCAAAGAAAATCTCAAGTTGGAAACCAACTGGGACCAGGAACCTTCACATGCCCCTTGTCACATCTCAGGAGAGGCCCTTTCTCAAAGTTCTTTGATTGACTTCTTTGGTGAGAATGAACAAGGATGGATTAGAGAAGGAGATTCTCTCCCTAAGGCACAGGGACACCTCCAAGATGAGGAGAGACAAGAGCCTCTCTCTCCTCAGGAAAATATTTCTGGGAAACAGTTCTACCAGTATTTGCATGATTCTCACCCAGGAGATCTGTCTAGGCCATTACTGAAGCAGAAACACAAGGCCTCCCAGAAGAACCAGCTGAGACCTCGTATGACCCAGAAGCTCCTCACCTGCAGAGAGTGTGGGAAAACCTTTTCTAGAAATTCTGAGTTTGTGTCTCACCAGAGAACCCATACTGCAAAGACGTATTTTCAGTGCCCCACTTGCAAGAAAGTCTTTCAACAGAGTTCAGAGTTTTTGAAGCATCAGAGAATTCACAAAAGAGAAAAGGCTTGCAAGTGTGATCACTGTGGGAAAGGCTTCAGGGACTTTTCTGGATTACGCCTCCATGAAAAAATCCATACCCGAGAGAAACCGTGTAAGCGTCCTCTCTGTGATAAGAGGTTCAGCAGCAGGTCCACCTTAAATGGACACCAATTGATCCACACAGGAGAGAAGCCCTATAAATGTCCTCTCTGTGAAAAGACTTTTGGCCACAGATCTGCCTTAAGTATACACAAGCGGGTCCACACAGGA